CAAGAAAGAGCAGCTTGTTTTTTCTCTGCTCTCGGCTCTGATATTAAATATAAAATAGGTCCTTAGAGTGTCTACTCCTCTGTACACAAAATGTAGAAGACCAGCTAATTCTAGAGCAAAAACACTAGATCTCCAAATTTCTTATTTCTCACCTAATCCTGCTCCATTTGAGGAACAAGACAAACTTCATTCCCAAACTACATACCAATTCATCATCTTTCTGGATGTCTAGGTACTTAGCCCTAAAGTTTTAATTTTTTAAATTAAAAAAAATTTTTTTTTTAGACAGAGTCTCACTTTGTCACTCCTGCTGGAGTGCAGTGGGGCGATCTCAGCTCACTGCAACCTCTGCCTCCTGGGTTCAAGTAATTCTATTGCCTTAGCTTCCCAAGTAGTTGGAATTACAGATGCCCACCACCAAGCCCGACTAATTTTTTGTTTTAATAGAGACAGAGTTTTGCCACGTTAGCCAGGCTGGTCTCTAACTCCTGACCTCAGGTGATTCACCAGCCTTGGCCTCCCAAAGTGCTGGAATTACAAGTGTGAGCCACCATGCCCGGTGGTTTTAAAATATTTAGGAAAAATGAAGGCCAGGCATGGTAGCTCCTGCTTGTAATCCCAGCACTTTGGGAGGCCAAGGTGGGAGGATCACTTGAGGCCAGGAGCTCGAGACTAGCATGGCCAACGTGACAGAACCCCATCTCTACCAAAAATACAAAAATTACCTGGGCATGGTGGTAGACGCCTGTAATCCCAGCTACTCGGGAGGCTGAGGCAGGAGAATCACTTCAACCCAGGAGGCAGAGGTTGCAGTGAGCCAAGATCACATCACTGCACTCCAGCCTGGGTGATGAAAGCGAGATCCTGTCTCAAAAAAATAAATAAAAATAAACAAAATATTTAAGAAAGATAAAACTGAGGATTTTAGTATTATTCATCAAATGCCAGTTACATGAGTATTTTTTGAAGAACACTGTTACCTTTTCACACTGAAAATTCAAAGGCAATTAATATAGAAGGAAGACAGCTCATCTTGTCAAACAGAAAAAGAAGAGGCAAATTTTTTGCTTGGCCAAAACAGATCATTTCATTCACAAAGGCACAGACTATATATACTCTACCACACATACTACAGAGACTAGATACTCTAAGAATTTCCTGTCTATGTGATATGGGAGAAACAGGACCAAAAAAAAAATTTCCTATCTACAAGATTAAGAAAGCATCTATATACACACTAAGCACCATCTTAGATTAGGCTAAAGCGGGTATCCTAGAAACTTCCATTCCAAAAATGAGATCTATATGTACTCTTAACATCTAAATCCTTTTAGGCACAGAAAACGTAAGTAAACAGGAGAATATGGTGTTCTTCTAACATCAGCCATCACTAAACGGGTGTAGGAATCGTCAATACACAACTTCTACAACAATCTTCAGAAACACAAAAGGTATGGATTCTGCCCATAGCTTTAACCACATGGTATGAAGACTCCAAATTTAATTTATACACACACACACACACACACACACACACACACACACACGTACATAAATATACACACACAGAGAGAGAGAGAAATTTATGACTTTGGGGGCACACTAGTAGTACTCTACCTGTGAACAAATTTAAGAATACTACTTATATAAAAGCAAACTGGCAGGGTGCGGTAGCTCACGCCTGTAATCTCAGCACTTTTGGAGGCTGAGGTGGGTGGATCACCTGAGGTCAGGAGTTCAAGACCAGACTGACCAATATGGGGAAACCCTGTTTCTTTAGTAAATACAAAAATTAGCTGGGCATGGTGGCAGGTGCCTGTAGTCCTAGCCACTCTGGAGGCTGAGAAAGGAGAATTGCTTGAACCTGGGAGGCAGAGGTTACAGTGAGGCGAGATTGTGCCACTACTAACTACACTCCAGCCTGGGCAAGAGAGAGAGACTCCATCTCAAAAAAAAAAAAAAAAAAAAAAAACCACCCACACAAATGGGTGCCAGGTACAGTGGCATGTGCCTGTAGTCCCAGCTACTTAGGAAGCTGAGGTAGGAGGACCACTTGAGTCCAGGAGTTTGAGGCCAGCCTGGACAACATAGCAAAACGCTGTCTAAAAAAAAACAACGACAAAAAAAAATGAAGGCCGGGCATGGTGGATGACACCTGTAATCCCAGCACTCTGGGAGGCTGAGGCAGATGATCACCTGAGGTCAGGAGTTAGAGACCAGCCTTGCCAACATGGTGAAACCCTGCCTCTACTAAAAATACAAAAAAAAAAATTAGCCAGGCATGGTGTCAGGCACCTGGAATCCCAGTTACTCAGGAGGCTGAGGCAGGAGAGTTGCTTGAACCCAGGAGGCAGAGGTTGCAGTGAGCCAAGATCACACCGCTGCACTCCAGCCTGAGTGACAAGAGGAAAACAGTCTCAAAAAGAAAAAATAATTAAATTTAATTTAAAAATGGCAAATGAGTGATCTTTCACCTCACCTATGACAATTATGTAAAAATGGTCAAGAAAATCAAGGACACCCTCCTTCTATCACATTCAAGCCAAAGCAAACTCTTTCAGATTCTCATTTACAAGTTTCAAAGAAAGATAAACTCTAATCTTTAGTCTAAGGATATCCCCTACACTTCATTTACTAGCTAAAAAGTACTGTGTTCTAGGCCGGGCGCGGTGGCTCACACCTGTGATCCCAGCACTTTGGGAGGCCGAGGCGGGTGGATCATGAGGTCAAGAGATCGAGACCATCCTGGTCAACATGGTGAAACCCCATCTCTACTAAAAATACAAAAAAGAATTAGCTGGGCATGGTGGTGCATGCCTGTAGTCCCAGCTACTAGGGAGGCTGAGGCAGGAGAATTGCTTGAACCCAGGAGGCGGAGGTTGCGGTGAGTCGAGATCGCGCCAATGCACTCCAGCCTGGGTAACAAGAGCGAAACTCCGTCTCAAAAAAAAAAAAAAAAAAAAAAAAAAAAAAAGTACTGTGTTCTAGCTTAATCTCTCACATCTCACTGAAAGGATAAGCCTTCCACAAGACCAACAGTAGGGATGCTCCAGAGTCTCTTCCACAACTGCCTACTCAAACAAAACATTTTCCCTCACCTTGGCTTAGAAGTTATTTCCCTTACAGTGAAATCCAAAGATACATAGATATTCAAGGGACTACCTGCCTTACAACCCACACATTGTTCTTCCCAAAGCAAAATGTCAGGGTCAGAATGTACTAAGGTTTTAAATCCTAAATAAAACCCAGTTCGGACTTAGAATGATAAAACATGTACTAACTGCATTCTGCAACTCACAAATAATTTCTCCTTATTCCTCTCAAATCCAAGAGCCAGAATTGAAAGTACACACAGAAAATTCCTGTGTTTTAACACCAAGAACAGAGGTTAAAATAACTGGTCACAGGTGACAAACCAGGCACCTCATAACCAAAATAGAAGAAATACTCTGAGCACTTAAAACAATCACGGTACAGTACTCTATGCAAGCCACAGCCAAGAGAAAAACATATACACATAAAATGCCACCCCTTCAAATCACAAGGTCAGGAGATGGAAACCATCCTGGCGAACATGGTGAAACCCTGTCTCTACTAGAAATACAAAAAATTAGCCGGGTGTGGTGGCACGTGCCTGTAATCCCAGCTACTCGAGAGGCTGAGGCATGGGAATCACCTGAACCCAGGAGGCGGCGGTTGCAGTGAGCCACGTTCGCACCACTGCACTCCAGCCTGGTGACAGAGCAAGACTCCGTCTAAAAAAAAAAAAAAAAAGAAGAAAGAGGAAAGGGAGGGAGGGAAGGAAGGAAGGAAGGGAAAGAAAGAAAGGAGAGAGAGAGAGAGAGAGAAAGAAAGGAAAAGAAAATACTGCCCCTTTTTCCCCAGAGCCCAAAAGAAGATAATGCCTACCGTCCTAGGTTGCTCAGACCTAAAAATGTGTACACATAAGAATACACACAGAAGAGTTAAAGAAATGGAGGACTACACTGCCAAGGAAGAGGTGTCTGGCCTGGTGCAGTGGCTCACGCCTGTAATCTCAGCACTCTGGGAGGCCGAGGCGGGTGGATCACCTGAGGTCAGGAGTTTGAGACCAGCCTGACCAACATGGTGAAACCCCCCCCCAAAAAAAAAAAAAAAAAAATTAGCCGGGCGTGGTAGTGCACGCCTGTAATCCCAACTACTTGGAAGGCTGAGGCAAGAGAATCGCTTGAACCCGAGAGGCAGAGGTTGCAGTGAGCTGAGATTGCACCATTGTACTCCAGCCTGGGCAACAAAAGCGAAACTCCTTCTCAAACAAAAACAAAAACAAAAAGGTGTCCAGAGGTTGCTTCACCTTCTCCAAGCCTAAAACCTCCGAGTTCAGCTACCCGGCTCTTCCGAAGCTCAGAGATGCCCTGGAACTTAACTTCCTTTTCCTGTCTGACTTCACAAAAGGTCCCAGAAGGAGGAGTCACGTGATTTTTCAGGGCAAAAGCCGAGAGATCCCTAATACTCACCTGCCTCAAACTGAAGAGGGAAAATAAGAACCCTCCTTAAGCACACAGGTAAGACACACACACAAGGCAGAAGGCAAATAAACATACCCCTCAACTCTGAGGAGAGGCTGAGAAGAGAAACGATCTTTGCGTCAGCTCTGTCTCTGTCTCTGTGTCTCTCTCTCAGTACCAAGGGCAGGGACTCTGGCAAGACCCCGCCCCCCCCCAACTCCAAAGCAGGGTGGGCGGGAGGCAGCCTGAGGAGTTCCCGTTCCCGCGCGAAGCTCAGAGACCAAAGGACTCCCTATTGTGGGTCCACGGATGGTGACGAGAACCCGTCCCGCTAGAGCTGAAGAGTAAGCCGAGGGCTCACTAGGCCCTCACCGCGGCCACCGCCGCCATGGAGCCGACCGCTGTCACAGAAGGATTCCCCCAGGGAAGAAGGAGGGTGGCCACAGCCCAGAGCCGACCCAAAGAGAATTCATGCCTCACACTCCGTGGGAGGCGAGGGTCCCGGAGCCTTACCTCGGACACTTCGTCCTCGTCACTACCAGAGGCACCACCTCCACCCCCGGTCCTCAGCACTGCAGCCGCCAACTTGAAATCCAGAGCCGCGTCCCCTCCGCCTGCACCGCCGCCGCCGCCGACTCCCGGCGCTGGCCCGGCCTCCCCAAAGAGCCTCACGGTGCGGATCCCCACACCGACCCCTCCCGGCGGAGGCGGCTCCGAGGCCCCAGCTGGGGCGGATCGCGGAGCCACAGAGTCCAGGTCCTCCTCAAAGGAGGTGCCGCCGCCTCCGCCATCAGTCAGCATGGTTCGCACGCGGAGCCGGTGCCAAGCCACTCGCGGCCACCGCCGCCGCTGATTCCCGGGAACTAGAAGAGCAGCAGGAGGAAGAAGCGTCTCCTTTACCCCGTCCCAGCAGCGCCACTAACTTCTCACTGCCTAACCTGCTGCCTCCCGCCCCCTCGACTCGCCACTGGCTGCAACTTCCTGGCAGCTGCAGATCATTGGCCAAAAGGACCCGTCGCTCAGGCTCTTCGTCACGCGCCGCTCGCTGGCTCGCAGCCGCCAAGCTGCGTTGACCCGCGCAGGCCTAGGCGGTTGCTAACACCCGCCTCCCACCCCTTACAAGCCGACATCCGGTCTTTTCTTATGTCTATTGGCCAAACCCTCTGATTATCGCGTCACGACCTTAAAGTGGATTAGTTGGCCTTGTGATCAGTCATAGTGACCCCGAACAATGGGAGAATTCATTGGCGCCATAAGTGTCGGTCACTTTGTCGCGGGACGTCGCGCGGTACAATTGGTCAGTGAAGAGTACCCTTCATCCCGCCCTCATCTGAGGTGACGGGAAAGGGCCGGGAAATTTCCACTTCTGAATAAAATGATTGCTGAAGTGACGACCCGCAAGAATTGGTCAGATTTGGAGTAGACTTCACCCTACGCTTGGTGAAACTTGTATGTCAAGGATTCAAGAGGCGCCGAAGTAACGCGGCTCCTACCTGCCGCTCTCCACTGGGCGCGGAGACTACGGCCAGAGAGTGGCTGTGCGGGATTGGAGAAGGGAAGCCATCAGTCTTAGCGAGGCTCCACCTTCCTGCCATTGCCCGGTTGGAGGAGCAAAACGTCAGTCACTAGAGCGGTCACCACCTCTGGGACAGGTGAAGATGCATAACCTGTTTGCCTCTGGCTGTTTGGGAGGGAATAGGGGACAGGGAGCGGTGAGGGGACAGTCGAGGGGCAGGGCCCATCCCGCTTCGCGCCTTCAGCCTTTCCGAGTTGAACCCAGCGCGCGCGTCTGAGGAGATCCGGGGAGCTGCTTGGGATGGCCGCCTTGAGGCGACTCGACCCGCCCGCGTGCCAGGACGTGGCCACGCGCCGCAGTTATACAGCCTTCGGGCGGGATCGCCCCGCGGGGCTGCGTTCTCCTGCTTGCGGACAGCTGCGGGCCTGAGGGCTGGACAGCGCCATGCCTCAGTACCGGGAACTGTCCCACGTAGGAAGGTGGGAATGCCGCGAACAGCGCGCGGAATCCGACCTCAGGGTGGAACCTCGCGGTGAAGAGTGCGTGCTCGGGGGCAGTTTCAAGTTCTGATTGCTGCCAGTTATTTGCTGGCTGACTTCAGCGTGTTTGCTGTTTTATTTTTGTGACTTTCAACTCGCTCCTCTGTGTAATGGGAGTAGTAGTGGTACCTTCCTCGTTGTGGTGTTAGGAATAAATTAGATGATAACATGGCGCTTAGCAAAGTCCCAAACTTACAGGAAAGACTCACTTTTGCTAGTTATTGCCTCCTTTTCCTTCAGGAACTCTCTGCTCACCCCTGGGTCCTGCCAGCCCAACTAATTCTAGTTCTAATCAGATCTGTATGGTGCAAAACAAGGCTAGCTGCGGTGGTCTTCCCTCTTCTAAGGTCTCCCTTTCTCCCTCCCTATATCCATCTCTCTTTCTTTGTCTTTATCTCCTTTGTCAATAAAGAGGGGGTTTAAAAAATGCCCAGGAGAACCGGGTGTAGTGGCTCATGCCTGTAATCCCAGCACTTTGGGAGGCCGAGATGGGCGGATCACTTGAGGTCGGGAGTTCGAGACCAGCCTGGCTAACATGGTGAAACCCTGCCTCTACTAAAAGAGCAAAAATTAGCCGGACGTGGTGGTGCGTGCCTGTAATCCCAGCTACTGGGGAGGCTGAGGCAGGAGAATCGCTTGAACCCGGGCGGCAGAGGTTGCAGTGAGCCGAGATCATGCCACTACACTCCAGATTGGGCAACAGAGTAAGTCTGTTTCTCAAAAAAAAAAAAAAAAAAAAAAAAATTAGCCCAGCGTGGTGGTGTACATCTGTAATCCTAGCAACTCAGGAGGCTGAGGTGGGAGGATCGCTTGAGCCTGGAATATGGAGGTTGCAGTGAGCTGAAATTGTGCCACTGAACTCCAGCCTGAGCAACAAAGCAGTGCCCTGTCTCAAAAAAAAAAAAAAAAAAAAAAAAAAAAAAAAAGCTTAGTTTCCAACTAATCCTTTGATCAGAGACCACCAAAAAATGACAAAAAGAAGTCTGGTGGTTTGTATGGAAAATGTCCTTTGACCCAGAGAATGTCCATATGATAACAGAGTTTGTCACACACAAAAAAAAATTGGATGGGTACAGTGGCTCATGCCTTTAATCCCAGCACTTTGGGAGGCCAAGGGGGTGGGGTCACGAGTTCAGGAGATTGAGACCATCCTGGCCAACATGATAAAACCCCATCTCTACTAAAAATACAAAAATTAGCTGGGTGTGGTGGTGTGTGCCTGTAATACCAGCTACTCAAGAGGCTGAGGCACAAGGATCACTTGAACCCAGGAAGCGGAGGTTACAGTGAGCTGAGATGGTACCACTGCACTCCATCCTGGTGACAGAGCAAGACTGTCTCAAAAAATAAAAATAATAAAAAATTGTCGGCCGGGCGCCGTGGCTCAAGCCTGTAATCCCAGCACTTTGGGAGGCTGAGGCGGGTGGATCACGAGGTCAAGAGATCGAGACCATCCTGGTCGACATGGTGAAACCCCGTCTCTACTAAAGATACAAAAAATTAGCTGGGCATGGTGGCACGTGCCTGTAATCCCAGCTACTCAGGAGGCTGAGGCAGGAGAATTGCTTGAACCCAGGAGGCGGAGGTTGTGGTGAGCCGAGATCGCGCCATTGCACTCCAGCCTGGGTAACAAGAGCGAAACTCCATCTCAAAAAAAAAAAAAAAAAAAAAATTGTCATTTTCTTCTCTCTTACAGCTTTAACAAGGGCTTTATATATCTCGACTGTGCAATATTTAATATTTCATTATCCTTAAACTGGGATCTGAAAATTCCATAAGAATATAATGATTTTTTTAAATGATTTTAAAAATTGATTCTTCCAAACATTTATTTTAAAAACATTTTGAAGATCAGAAACATTTCTTTGGCTTGGTAATTGCTTATTTTGACATTTCACATGTAAAGGTTAGTGTTTTCAATGAGCAGAACATGTTAGTTAAATTTCTTCCTAGACAATAATTAAGTTGTAGAAAATGTTAAAAAAAAAAAAAAGTCTTTTACCTATACTAGAGAACTATTTTGATGTAAATGCTATGTACACTGGCTTTAGTTAGCATTTATGGAATTTAATTAGCCTATATCGTCAGTGCTGTTAAGTTTTCAAGGCATGTGTGACTAGGTCACAACCCAAACTAATAACACCAACAAAAGAAACCTAGAACTGCCCAACCCACTTCAAAGCTGGATTATCCAGAATTGGTATGGATACATCCTTAGGCAAAAACAGGTATTGACTGGCACAGCATTACAAAGGAACTACTTGTCATTCTTACTACTGATATAAAAATAATTTCTGATGCAACTCCCTAAACAAACTCATTAAATTTTTTAAAGAAATACAATGACTCTCAAGGACCCAGGGAAAGGAAATCTGGATATATACATTTTTCTCAATTTATTTGAGAGGAAAGAAAACACTCTTTATTCAGTGCCTAGCAATCAACCCTGAGTATAGCTAAAGAAATGTGATTTAGCAATAATCTTTGTTTCACAAGGATCTTTACCTGAGATATTTGTCAGTAGTATGTCAGTATGGGAATTAGGAATTCCAAGTCTCCTAGATTTGGGGGACTGCTATATAGAGTCTCAACTAAATGTGATTTAATGGCTGGGCACGGTGGCTCACACCTGTAATCCCAGCACTTTGGGAGGCCAAGGCAGGTAGATCACCTAAGGTCAGGAGTTCAAGACCAGCCTGGCCAACATGATGAAACCCCATCTCTACTAAAAAATACAAACAATTAGTCAGGTGTGGTGATAGGGGCCTGTAATCCCAGCTACTCATGAGGCTGAGACAGGATAATCGCTTGCACCTGGGAGGCAGAGGTTGCAGTGAGCCGAGATCACGTAATGCCACTTCAGCCTGGGCAACAAGAGTGGAACTCTGCCTCAAAAGTAATTTAATAGTGCCATATATACTACATTCCTATGGTTTTAAATTTTGAAAACTCAGGCCAGGTGTGGTGGCTCAGGCCTGTAATCCCAGCACTTTGAGAGGTCAAGGAGTTCAATACCAGCCTGGCCAACATGGTGAAACCCATCCCTACTAAAAATACAAAACTTAGCTGGGCGTGTTGGTGCACACCTGTAATCTCAGCTACTCAGGAGGCTGAGGCAGAAGAATCAGGAGAATCACTAGGCAGAGGCTGCAGTGAGCCAAGATCACGCTACTGCACTCCAGCCTAGGCAACAGAGCGAGACTCTGCCTCAAATAAATAAATACAAAAATCACTCAGGCAAGGTGGTACCGGCCTGCAATCCTAGCTACTCGGAGGCTGAAGCAGAAGAATCACTCGAACCGGGTACATGGAGGTTGCAGTGAGCCAAGATCATGCCACTGCACTCCAGCCTAGGTGACAGAACAAGACTCCATCTCAAAAAAGAAAAAAAAATTACACTCAATGTATTCAATGTAAAATATCAATAAGTATTATTGTGAGTTAGTGTGTAATCTTTATTTTGATAAACCTTAAGATGGTATTTACTACTAAAGTAATACACTGATTTTTCAAAACCTGGATGACTGGCTGCCCCAAATTTTATTTTAAAACGTGTTTATTAGAATATAATGTCTTCCGACAGAAATGCAGTGAAGATTTGCTCAGTTGCAGTATTATAGCCAGAGGCGTGATTACTGCTAATTGAAAACTTTTCCCAATACCCTGCCATGATGACTTGAAATACAGTCAGCATTGGCAATTTTTTTTTTTTTTTTTTTTTTTTTTTTTTTTTTGAGACGGAGTTTCGCTCTTGTTACCCAGGCTGGAGTGCAATGGCACGATCTTGGCTCACCGCAACCTCCGCCTCCTGGGTTCAGGCAATTCTCCTGCCTCAGCCTCCTGAGTAGCTAGAGCATTGGCAATTTTTGAGTCTCTATGGAATAAAGAAAA